CTCAGATATTGTTAGCATTTTTCAGCAATAAAGTATTTTTAATTAAGGTATGTACATTATTTTTCTAAGACAATGCTATTGCACACTCAATAGACTACAGTATAGTATAAACATAAATTTTATATGCACTGGGAAACCAAAAAATTCATGTGACTCACTTTGTGATAAGAGGGTACTTTGAAAAGTTCATGAAAAAACACAGAAGTAAAAGATAATATGAATCTTTCCATTAACTTTTTGAAGTAACTTACTATTTGCTTTATTGTGGTGGTCTGGAACCAAACCTGCAATATCTCTTAGGTATGCCTGTAATCAAAGTATTTTTATTATAAAGAATAGTTACTATTTATGAAATTATACTATTTATTAAATTTATGAAACATATATTATATAAGGTGTCTTTAAAAAGAAATAAAAAAACCCTTCCCTTTAATGGAGGTTATGTATTAATTGGTTGATAAAAATGTTTGGATCAGAGTCTCACAGGAACCTGTGTATCTCTCTTAGCAACAATGGTTCAGTATTCACCAATTTATTGTGCGCAGTAAATTCATAAAACATAATTACCACGAATAACAAGGATTCTCTGTATATATAAAAATGTACATGTATGAGTATGTGTGTGTAAGTATTTCTGAGCCAAGCCTTTATATTTCTCACAAAGACTTATGCTCCTGAAGGGTAGAGACAACAAAGTTCTGGAACAAAGAATACTTTTAATAAATGTTTGTAGAGCTGCCTTCAATGGTCCAACTCTCCTGACTCTGAATGTATAAAAAACACATAAACGATATGAGGCCTTTTTAATCTTTCATACTCCACCCAACCCCACCTCCCCCTCAAATTGTCATAGGTTTGACAGGGAAATTGGAAAGAAGCCATAAATGCATTTCTTTTACCGTTCACTTCTAAGTCTCTTCTTCCATCTCGCCTTGTTCTTTTAAAATACTCTTGAGGTGGATTTGAAGTATGAATAAAAGTTGTTGGTAACATTTTCCTAAATGCATGATAACCACTGGGTCTCTCTCCTGGATGATTCTCAGGTGTAGTGTAAGGCTCTAGGATGGGTCAATTTTTAATATAATTCTTTAGATGACAAGTGAAGATGACCTACAAAAAACTTTCACAGGGATGACAATTGTGATGTTTCTCGTCAGTATGAACTGTCAGATACTGAGTAAAATATTTACCTGGCCAAAAGACTATGAAATCATAAAAGTAGACTGAGGTTAACAGGCTTGCAGAAGGCCGTCCTACATCTTTTAAACTCTGGTATGAATCTTTCGATGGTGAGTGAAGGATGAACTGTGGCTGAAGGTTTTTCCACATTCACTGCATTCAAAGGGTTTCTCTCCAGTGTGAGTTCTCATGTGCTGAGTTAGGGCAAAGTTGTCACAAAAGGCCTTCTCACATTCTTTGCACTCAAAGGGTTTTACTCCAGTGTGGATTCTCTTATGCCGAACAAAATTTGCAGGTTGAGTAAAGGCCTTTCCACATTCTCTGCAAATATAAGGTTTCTCTCCAGTGTGAATCCTCATGTGTCGAGTAAAGGAAGAGCTATAGAAAAAGGCTTTTGCACATTCTTTACATTCCAAGGGTTTTTCTCCACTGTGGGTCTTATTATGTCGGATGAAAACAGAGTGGTGTGTAAAGGCCTTTCCACATTCACTGCATTCATAGGGCTTCTCACCAGTGTGAATCCTTGTGTGTTGAATTAAGGAAGAGCTGTCACAAAAGGCCTTCCCACATTCTTTGCATTCAAAGGGTTTCTCTCCAGTATGAGTCCTCTTATGTCGGATAAAAGTGGAGCGATGAGTAAAAGCCTTTCCACATTCACTGCACTTATAGGGTTTCTCTCCAGTGTGAATCCTCATGTGTTGAGTGAAGGATGAACTGAGGCAAAAAGCTTTTCCACATTCTTTGCACAAAAAGGGTTTTTCTCCTGTGTGGGCCATATTATGCTGGATAAAAGTGGAGCGGTGAGTAAAGGCCTTTCCACATTCACTGCACTCATAGAGTTTCTTTCCAGTGTGAATCCTCATGTGTTGAGCAAATGAAGAGCTGTAGTAAAAAGCTTTCCCACATTCTTTGCATAAAAAGGGCTTTTCTCTAGTGTGGGTCATGTTATGCTGCATAAAAGAAGAGCGGTGGGTGAAAGCTTTACCACATTCTTTGCACTCATATGGCTTATCTCCAGTGTGAATACGCTGGTGCTCTGTGAGGTGAGACCTGCGTTTGAAGGCTTTTCCACACTCAGTACACTTGTATGGTTTTTCCCCTGTATGAAACCTCTTATGTCGAACGAAGTCAGCCATGTAACGACAGGCTTTCCCACATTCATTGCATTCATAGGGCTTAACTCCAGCATGAATCTGTTGATGTCGAACAAGGGCCCAATTCTTGCTAAACCCTTTCCCGCATTCCTTGCATTTGTAGGGGTTATCCCTTGCATCGGCCACAGGGCCTTTTCTTGGTTCTTGGGAGTCGTGTGCATATACAGCATCTCGTGGAATGAGTCGCTCCTGTAAAACCCTTAAACACAGACTATCATCTGTCTCCAAATCATCACGTTTATGGCTCAACTTCCCAGGGCATGTTGCCTTGTGAAGGACAATTCCTGGCCTCAAATTCCCTTCCTGCCTTTCTGATAGCCTTTCATCATTCCTGTCTTGCCCTAACCTAGAATCCCTTGAAGATCTGTGTGCCAGTTGTTCTTGGAAAGAAGGTTCCTCAGAGAAGGCCAGCTGAAAAGTAGTAGGCTCTGTGATCTTGGGTTTTGTTTTTTCACCTGAAAGAAATCCAATATAAAAAAGGCATCTATTAGTGATGTCAGCAGAGAGCAAAAAAAAAAAAAAAAAAAAAAAAAAATCACCGCTTTAGTAGAAGAATGAAGATGAAAATAGTGTCTCTGATGCCTACTGCATTTTTGTATCTCTTAAAACATTAGGTTTGTAATATTTTTCTTAATACTTGGACTGCTGACATCTTTTAAAGGAAACTCAGGAGGAAGGGCTGGGGCAGGGGAGAGAGAATCCAGTGTGGAGACTCCTCATTCTGCAGAATGGGGAAGGGTAGGCAGAGTCTCAATGATTACACTGTGTGTAATGAATGTGCCCTAAGAGAGGAAGTCTCACAGCACTATGACAGCACAGAGAAGATGCACCTAACTTCCCACAGATGGGAGACAGTCAAAAAGAAATAAGTGGAGACTAGTCAGAAAAGGTGCTATGTGAGCTTATTCTTCAAAGAGTGTATGAGTCACTCAGGAGGAAGGGCTGGGGCAGGGGAGAGAGAATCCAGTGTGGAGACTCCTCATTCTGCAGAATGGGGAAGGGTAGGCAGAGTAATGATTACACTGTGTGTAATGAATGTGCCCTAAGAGAGGAAGTCTCATAGCACTATGACAGCACAGAGAAGATGCACCTAACTTCCCACAGATGGGAGACAGACAAAAAGAATAAGTGGAGACTAGTCAGAAAAGGTGCTATGTGAGCTTATTCTTCAAAGAGTGTATGAGTTCCCAGAATAGGAATTAAGGGAAATCACAGCAGATGAAAACAAAACGTACAAAGGTTCAGAGCTTCAGAGAATGCTGAACGCCAAGCAAAGTGAAGGGGATGAGAGGATGGTGGAGATGCAAATGAAGAGGCAGGTAGGAACAGAGGAGAAACAGATTCTCAAAATTCTGTGCAAAAGTGGGGGAGGGTGAGAAAGAACTGGGTGGACACATTGAATCTGCTATGTCTGAATAAAGACTAGGTGAACAGACATAAAATAGATAACATCTAGGTGAAGAAAATTATAAAAATTACATTAAAGAAGATCTATTTGAAAAGAGAGATTTTTAAAGTTGTCAGTACTCCCCAATCCATCTATGAATTCGGTACAACATCAGGTAAAATCCCAATAGGGTTTTTCGTGTATATTGATAAGCTGATTGTGGAATTTATATAGAGATCAGAGTATCTCTGAAGAAGAAGAATAAAGCAGGGGGACTTTCCCTATGAGGAATTAGTATTATGATAAAACCATACACATCAAGGAAGTGTGAGGTAAGAATAGATATGTGCAAACTTTCAGGAGAAAAAATGGAAAAGAAAGTTCAGAAATGTACACATGGTACTTCAATATATAACAGAAGTAGCAGAAAAGGCCAGTGGGAAAAGGAGAAACTATTCAATATATGGATCTAGAAAAATTATTTGCCACATGGAGGAAAATGAAATTGTATTCCTATCTCACACCATACAGAGAATTACCTCCAGACTGATTACCTGTCAGAAGCTAAACATTAAGAACTTTTAATATATAAAAATCAGTATCTTTTGAGAAAGATTTCCTAAACAAGATACAAAAGTGTTAATAATAAAAGGCTAGTAGATTTGACTAAATTAAATATAATGAAAAATTAAAAGGCAAATAAAGGTGGCTATATTAATATTGGAAAGACTACAAACCAAAAATGAGACAAAGAGCGGCGTTACATAATGATAAAACGACCAACCCACCAGGAAGACATACTAATCCTAAATCTCTATGTACCAAACACCACAGCCTCAAAATACATGAACCAAAACCTGAGTTGAAAGGAGGAATAAACAAACTCACAATTATAGGTGGGAGATTCAACAGTCCAATTCTAAAATGAAAAATAAGCATAATATAATGAACTGACATTTCACAGAAGATATACATTGGCTAATCAACATATGAAGAAGTCATCAATCTTGCTGGTAATGAGGGAAAAACAAATTAAGATCACAATGAGATACCATTTTATACTCACTTAATCATAAAAACTTAGGAATCTGACAATATCAAGTACTGGAAAGGATGTGGATCCATGGAATCATTCAGACAATACAAGTGAAGTGTTAATGGGTATAACCATTTTAGACAACAACAGGGCATTACCCAATAAAGTTCTCCTTTCACTCACTTTATAATCCAAAAAATCTAGTCTGAGGAACATTACTAAGAAACTCCTACACATGTACATGAAGATACATGCATATGAATTTTCATGGCAGCACTGTTTTTTTTTTAAAGATGACCGGTAAGGCGATCTTAACCCTTGACCTGGTGTTGTTAGCACCACGCTCTCGCAAGTGAGCCATGGGCTGGCCCTATGGCAGCACTGTTTGTGAGAACAAAAAACTATAAACAAATAATTAATTGCTCCAGAAAATGGATGAATACACTGTCTTATATTTATGCATTTGACTACAGCAGAAAAAAATGAGTGACCTACAGCTACATGCATCATAAATCTTAGTAACACACTGTTGAATAAAGAGTAAAAATTCCAGAAGACAATATAAATTAGGATATATTTTTTATAATGTTCAAAACAAAAACAAAACAACAAATACACACAAGAGAGTACAATGAAACAGTCTATTTTATTTTTTTGAGAATGTTGGTCAGTTTTTAATGGCATTATAAAAATGATAAATATGTTTCTTAAATTTATTTTTTTGATTTTTTTATTGTTGTAAAATATATATAACAGAATTTACTACTTTGTGATGAAACAATCTTTAAAAAGTAATGGGTAGACAAATCAGATGCAGTGGACAAATCCTTTAAATGACTCAAATTACCAAAACTGACACAAGAAAAAATAGAATATCTGAATAGCTGATATTTATTCATAAAACTGAATCTTCCTACAGAATAAGCAATGGAATAACAAATCCAAAATAAAGTGGCTATCTATGTAAGGGAGGAAACACAGGAACAGGAGAGGAAAGAAACACATCTTGACAGCTGTAGAAAGTAGGTAACTTTCTTGTACTCAGGTGAAAGTTTCATAGCTGTTCATTATAATCTTCATAAATGGGAATAAATAAATAAATACATTAACAAAATAAAATTAAAGAATATAAAACAAAAATCCAGGACATGGCTTGACCAATGAAAAAGCACAATTTATAATTTTTCTAAATCTCTACACCTTGGAAAAATTATAAAAGTCAGAGGGCCTATAGAGTACTGTATAGTAAACTTCATGGTCTCTGAAGACAAACACCTCAGTCTGAAATTCCATCAGTACCCCACACTACCTTTGTGGCCTTTAGTGACCTACTCAAATTTCTTAAGTTTCCCTGAAAGGACTGTTGTGAGGATGAAGTGAAACAGCACATATATAGTATTAGTAAGGTACCAGGCTCTGAGTCAGAAATCAGTGTATGTAAGCCATCATGCCTATTTTATGGGGCCTATCACACTTGGGTTGAAGTTGACAGTATAAACATGAGTGAGTATACCCAGAGAAAGTGCACAGAATAAAAAGATAAGGCTGTGAGATGCTTGCTGAAGCCAATATCATAGAAGTGATCAGAGACAACAGTGAAGGTCAAGTCAGAAGAAGGAAACAGGAAACAAGAGAGCAAAATGCTATAAAAGCTCAAGCATGATAATGGGGGAACGTTTCTGCTGAGTCGAGAGACAATAGAGCATCATGGTTAAGAGTGTGGGGTACGGAGCCAGAATACCTCAATTCAATAACTGAAAATGGGGAAATGGGAGGAGTGGGCAAGATTACGAGGTCGTCTTTAAGCTTGATGAGTGTGAGATGTCTTTGAGACATTCAAGTGAAGATGTGGAACTGGGGAGAGGGGTGAAGGCTGTCTGAGGGAGCCTGAATGAACACTAGATGAAAGAGATCATGAATCTGCAGTGGCACCGATCTATACACTTGATGGCTCCAGCTGCCCTTAGCAGCCACCCAGATGTGGGACTGACAAAAGCAAATATCAGCTTGAGGTTTTATAAGACAGAAGGGCAAGAAGACAACAAAGCTAAGGGCTGCTTGTAAGTGTCTGATTCACAAATGGAAGGACAGATGTATGCATGGATGAGTAAATAAATGATTGGATAGAGAAGGTGGAAAAGGGTGGGATCAAAGTACGGTTGGAGGTAGTAATCTGCAGGAAAAAAAAAAGAGTGTCTTCTGAATCTGGAAGGACGTTTGAGATATCACTAACTTTTGTTGAGACACTCTGGGTCAGGCAGTACTAAGTAGCTTCCTGTTATCTAATTACATTCCCAAACAACCCAATTGTGCAGATATTATCACTATCTTTTTCAAATGCAGGCTAAGTTAAGCAGACTGAATATAGGTTCCCTATACTCGTGGGCTCTTCTCCTTGGGCACATAGCTAAACCACGTTTCCCAGCCTGATACAACATGTAGCCTAATATCTATTTCTTGTCAATGGAATGTGAATAGGAGTGATGTGTATGTGTGCAAGTGGATATGACTACTACCTTTCTCTCCTATTCCTCTTGGCCAAGGCAACCTTAAGCCACGTATTGATGACAGAATGCGCCTAGATCCGTAAATGAATATGTGGTACAGAACTCTCCTGCTGACCCACATTAGACTATGGCACGAATGAGAAAAAAACTCAATCTGTTGTACCACCAAGATTTTGGAGTTTATCTTTTAGAGCAGGTAGCATTAACTCAGCCTAACTTGTATACCAAAGTCACAGTGAGATCATGCTACTTCCCCAGGGGCATTAGGCTGGTGAGCAGCAAATCATTTAGAGCCCAGAGCCTGTCTGCTACCTAATATACCATATTCCAACCCAAGTAAAGTCAAAGTGTATGTGATTGGGGTGGGTGGACAGGGGGACCACAGTTCAAAGTGCCCCATGCCCAACCAAGAACTCAGGAAGGCTACAAAAAGAAGTTGCCTATGGAACTCCAGACACTGTGATTCCCCAGTGGTCCGCAGGTTCCCATAACACCCACTGTCAGACTCTCACCCACTTACCTGCACAGGTACTTTGGAAGCGGCCTCTCTTCACTGTCCATAGTTCTTGCTCATGTTCCAGTAGGTAGATCAGCTCTGGTTTGGGAACAGAATGTCCTGTGTGTGGAGAAATAAATGGAGCATGAGTATAGAGATAAAGATGAAAGGAAAAGTCTCAAGTTTACAGAAGTATATACCTTTAACACACTGCCATGAAACTCCAGAAAGGGAACCCCCCCGCCCCGCAAAAGGTATTCCCTAATTAAGTCATTAGAATTCAATTGCTCTGTATATCAGAACTACCTAGCAATTCCTGGTTCTAAAAACAGAGCAAATTAAACCAAGTCTCTGGGCATAAGGACTAAGCATTGGTGGTTTTTAAAGCTCCTTAGGTGATTTTGGTTCCCAGGGGCAGCTGAAAAACACTGGACTAAATCAACTGATGAATGAAGGTCAGTTGCCTGAGGTAGGCAGGTGTCCTAAGCCAGCTACTCATTCTGAAGAAAAAGCCTTTAGTCCAGGTTGGGAAGATAGAGCTGAATGTAAGGACCTGCTGCCCTAGTCACTGCTGCATCATCCTGTGGCCTCTGCAAGGATGCTGACCTGATAACCTGGACCAAGGAGAGAAAGTAGACAAACAAAGAGAACTGGGTTGGCATCTACCAACCCAGGAGCCAGCAACACCTCAGGGCTTCTCATTAGGTGAAGCAATTAATTTTTTTCATGGTGAAACCACTATGAGGTGGTCTTCTGTTACATGCAGCCAAACACATTTTGCCAACTGTGAAGGCTAAAAGAAGAATGGAGAGAAGTCAATGACGAAGGCACCAGGACCAACAGAAACATGAACAGGAAAATCTTATACTGCAGGCCAGAATTCATTTAGTTGTCACTTAGTAAATGTTCACTAATGTCTGTCATATGCCTGGCATTGAGCTCAGTGATGGGGCAGTGGAACCAGACATTCCTTCATCTCAGTTAAGGAACTGAGCCCCTGCTCCCTCAGGGCCTCTGCTTGTGTTGCTCCCCCACCCGCACATCTCCTTTCAACAACTAAGCATGACTGTCATAAAATAACACTCTATTTACTTCATTGATGACTGACCTCCTCAGAGAGACTGTGGGGATGATCAAGCTGGGAGAGCCCTGTCAGAGGTAACTATTTGGACATCTGGGAAAAGGGAGATCTTGGGCCTGCCTCCATTCAATTCCTACTCAAACCAATTTCTGGATAAACTGGCCATTAAAGGTTTAGACGGGAGAATGTTTGGAATTTATTTGACTGTCATAAAATAACACTCTATTTACTTCATTGATGACTGACCTCCTCGGAGAGACTGTGGGGATGATGCAAGCTGGGAGAGCCCTGTCAGAGGTAACTATTTGGACATCTGGGAAAAGGGAGATCTTGGGCCTGCCTCCATTCAATTCCTACTGAAACCAATTTCTGGATAAACTGGCCATTAAAGGTTTAGACGGGAGAATGTTTGGAATTTATTCAATTGTTATATATAATAAATACATGTGTAGTACTTGTTGTGTTCCCAGTTCTATTTTAAGTGCCTTAAAGATATTAGTTCACTTACTGTAAGTGGAAGGTTACCATAAAAATGATAAAATCAAACTAATGGTGTTACATCTGAGTGAACTCATGTTGCCTGCTTGAGGTTGGGAGTTTGAGGCTATTCTTTCTGCTGAGGGGGAAATTAGTTAACAGCTTTGGGAGTGTTAAAGATTCAGCACTAATTCAAAACTCAACAATCAAGAGGGAGGAAAGAGAAAGGAAAAAAGAATGGCTTTCTCAGATGCCTGCCAATGCCATTTGATAATGTGTCTATGCACTCTCTAAAATCATTTCCCATACCAGCAGAGAAGCAAGGCACAGGCCTTAGGAAATAAGGGTCAACTGTGTGGGTACCAGGGCCAAAGAAGCCTTTCAGCAGAGATTGTGTTGCTTAGAAAGATACCAGTTGACACTGATGACAAACACCTTCTCATAGCCTGTCTGAATCACCCTCTTCTTAGAGAAAGTCCCATTATGCACAGGTCCTGCTAACTGGGCTGTGAGGATATTTGACTTGTCAAGCTGGGACAATCACCTTCCTTCTTGTGGAAATCTAGAAGAAGGATGTCAGATTGAGGCCAGCTTGAGCTAGACACTAGGATGAAAGTGTTGAGAAGGACTATGTTTCTTATGCTACAACCCTGATGGAGACACAGGGAAATCAAGCAAGAGCAGGTCGTATAACAACATGCTGAAGCTTCAGGGAGAAGGGAAGACAAGACCCTAAAGCCTTCTCAACCAGCTATGCCTAGAGAGAGAAGATGGAATGAAAGAGGTTGTGGGTCCTCCATATGGGAGAGAAATAAGGGCTTACCCAGTGAGACCAGGAGCCTGCAGGTCTCCAGCATCACCTCCTGGTACAGGGTCCTCTGGGCCAGGTCCAGATACCCCCATTCCTCCCCTGTGAAGGTCACGGCCACATCTTCAAAAGATACCAGTGCCTGGAAAGTCAAACATAGGTGGCTGTGCAGCTATTAGATGAGATGAGAGCCTATTGCTCTGTTACTGGCAAAAATCCAGAGAGACTAAGCATCTCCTGAGAACCTAGCTCTGTGCCGGGCTCAGGATGGAGGGAGATAGTGCCTTTGACAGAAGACTAACATGTGGGACAGAAAAGCCTCCTAGGACAATGATACAAGACAATGATAATCCTGTGAGGAGCGACAGTAAGTGTTCTAGGTTAGAAGAGAGGGGAAAAAATAATAATTCAAACAATGATAACAGCAGCAGCAGCTAAGCTTCACTCATCTGCACTGTTTGTCTGCACTTCAGGGCTTTACATACTGTGTTAAAGCAACTAAAAGTCTCCAGGTTGGGGGCCAGACTCCTAAGGTTTAAATCTAACTCTTGAACCAACACATGCCAGATGTGTGACGATGGGGAAGTATCTTAATTTCTTTGAGCCTCAACTTCCACATCAATACAATAACAGTTCCCACTTCACCAGACTGTTGTGGGAAGAGAAAATGTCCATAAAGCAAACTCTGCAGTGCCCAGCACATCACAATGTGTATTTGCAAATTTTATTAATCATCCTTTAATCAGTGAGGTAAATGCCATCATCACCTCTAATTCACAATCAGCAAATTGAGGCTCACAGTAGTCACCCAGAGTCGTATGTCTACCTAGAAGTGGCAGGATTTGAACCCAGGTCGCTCTAATCCAAGGTCTATGGATGTAATCCCCATACTCCTCTATTGTCACAGTGACTTCACAGTGACAAGGGCAAGAAACATTTCCAATAATTTTTGTAGTTACAACCATTTTAGTCACTCCTGAAAATATTTCCATAGAATATGGCCGGAAGGGCAGAGCAGTCATCGTCTGCCTCATAGAAGAGTCACCTAAGGAGGTACCAATTGCCTGGGCTTGGCAGGGTTCAAACAAACTCTCCCTGCCCTCAAGCTGCAGCTGGGACTTCCAAAATCCCTGGAAGATTCCACAGTGAGCCACCAACCTATTCTTTTTTCTTTCTGAGCCACTCTCAGCACATTTCCCTAAGATATTGTTACTTAAGTACCAGGTAAGACATGTAGCTAGGGACAATGCAGGCTGTGGCTCTAAGTATATGGGCAACAGCCTTCAGCATGATGTCTGTCCTAGGTGAGGATAGGATGGTGGGATGAGGATCCATCAGACAACCACACAATCTCATCTTCCTGAGACACATCTCAGCAGGTGACAGGTGCCCTCGGTAACCTCCCAAACCCTCTCATGCCTCTTTGACAAAAAACTCTCCCTTTGTCCATGCAGTTCCCTTTGCCTGGAAGGTTCACCAAAGTCCCTCTCATTCCCATGCCCACCTGCCAGAGAAAGGCCTGCACCCTCCACATGCAAAGTGTTTAGGTGTCACCCCAGGGTTCCCCACTGTTGATGGAGTGTTGGTTAAGAAGGGAGGCTCTCAGAGATCTGGTGGCCATGTGACAGAGAAAAGTGGGTAATGACCTTGACTCTTTTAGGCCCCTGTGGCCTGAGGGCAGTGAGCTAGAGAAAAACAAGAGAGGGAGGGAGGGTGGGTGGCCTGGGGGACTGGGTAGAGGCTTTGCAGCCATGGTGGTGGTGGTGGTGGTGGTGGTGGTGGTGGAGGGGGTTTAGATTAAATCTAAGTATGATGGGAGCTCCAGAGGGTAGAGTCTTTCATTCATCAACCACTTACTGAGTAAGTGGTACAGGCCAACCATAACAATAAATGAGCAAGATGAAATCAGATGACTGTAAGCAGCTCTGAAAGCAACAAAGAGTGGGACCACCACAAACATCAGCGGAGACTTTAGATGAGACAACCAGGGAAGACCTCCCTGAAGGGACCCTGGAACAAGGCTTCAATGAGTTTAGAGAGCAGGTCAAGTGAGGAAAAATGAATAAGTAACACAAGTCCTGAAGGTGTTCAGGGCCGTGATGAGATTAAACAGGGTGACATCCTGAAGAGTAACTTTGGGTCTGTCGTGTATTTACATCCTGAGACACAACACTCCGGTACACTGTCATTAATGAATATTGTAATGTATTCACTTTTCAAATACAAGTAAATGCTGTTAAGTGGCAAGCCAGATTCTTTTGCAATTAAACAGACGGTTTCTGCAAGATGAGTCCAATGACCTTCTTGTCTTCTAGCCTATCAGGGGACCTCTACTATCAGAGAAGCAGCAATTCCAAAAATGCTGCTCCCACCTCACCTCTGCCCTCGAGCCTCTCATTCTCCCTTCTAGCTTTCAGCTAGGTAGAAGCCCGAGGCAGGGAGACCTGAGGGCCAGACTCCAGCCCGAGTGAACCCTTAAAATAATAGCAGGACCTGGGGAGTCCATCCCCAGAAATGGCATTCAGAGTGATGCTCTCCGGGTCGTGCTGAGCACTGAAGGACACACCTCACAAGCGTACCCTCTTCAGTTCCCTCGGCAGAGAATTATTCCTATTCTCATTTTAGGGCCGAGGGAATGGAGGCCAAGGACAGCGAGGCGACAAGCTCCAAGGTTAGAGCCAGAAATGGGGACCTCTCCTTATAACCCCTGGCCTGGATTCAGTACCCTGGGTTGGAAGTGATTAGCCCAGCCCCTCATCCCACCCCCTCCCATGACCTCCAGATCCAAAGGCATCACAAGAGAAAGGCGAAGAGTCCCAGGATCCGCTATATCATAGCGGATGGGACCGTGCGGGCGGCGATCCAAGAGCGCGTGGACCTGTGGAACCCTCCACTCACCAGCGCCGGCGCCGCCATGGGACCCAGTGGGCGGAGCGAGGCCGTGAGTGGCGGCGAACATCCGGTCCAGCGGGCTCAGCCGACCCCTCACTCCAGCCGGGGGCGGTGTCGGCCTCAGGCTCCGCCGTGTAAAATGCGCACACAGCTCCAGGCGCCGCCTCCGGGCGCCGTGGGGACAGAGGGCTGGCGCCAAGGCCCTGCAAGGCGCTCGGCAGACAACCCTACCGGGGGCTGGGGGTATCACGGCTCGTACGAAAGCGTGTAAGCGGGTCGTATTCTCACTGTCCTCTGCTCGGTCTCGAAAAGCCTGGGAAGCGGCCTCTGTCAAGAGTCCCAGTCAGTGCACAGAACATAAGCACGGAGCTGTCACAACCATTTGTCGTCCTGAGACTCGAGGCCCCAAGTCCCGTCCTTCCGGCACAGGAAACGCCCCTCTCCGTTTTCCGTCATTGGCCCAGCCCCTGCCTCCGACGCTCGACGCACTTCCTTCTGGGTAACGTAGTTTCTGGCCTGAATCCGGGCGCGCACTTTCTGGTCTCTGTGAAACAGCTTCCTAAGGTTCCAAGAGAGGGCGTGGCTTTGCTTCCTCTTAAAGGAGACGCACAGAGATTTCCGTGGCCATTTGAGGCGGTGACCTACCCTGAAAGGCCTGGAACAGATGACCCACGCCTTGACTTTCCTCTGTACTCCTGCGCCAGCATTTCATCTCTCTGATCCTTGAGATCGAGATTTATAAGAAAAATGAAGACAATTCTTTAATTTAATAATATTAAATGTTCCCCTCATCAGTAGTTTTCAGACCACATTAGCATTACCTGGGAATTTGTTACAAATATAAGTTCTCAGGCCCCAGACCCACTGAATCAGGTGGGGGAGACGGGGGGCGGGGGGGAGGGACCCTGCTTAAGTCCTCCAGGGGATTCTGATGCTCCAACCTATTTGAGAACTGGACTCTTTAAATTCCAGTGAATAAATGAGACAAAACTACCCACTCGGTGGGAATTAACTAAAAAGTGCTTAGCATTGGGGCTGGAACATAAAGATAAGTACATAAGAGGTTTTGCTGTCATTATGATTATTATTCTATATTAGTATTATTGGCAATGTCATCAGAAGGATCTCACATATGCTGCTATGGGAGACTAACTATGAGATACTTCTTTGCAGACTCATTGGTGATATTTATCAAAACATAAAATACATTGACTCTCTGACTCAACAAAGAGCCTCATGAGTAGTGTTTAAAAATATTTACATAATAATACACCGTTGTACCATTTGGCTCATGTAAGCATTTTTTTATCAGTATATGCAGGAGGGTTTCATAATCTACAGTTAAACCTCTTACCCAAGGCACACTTTCTTATAGGCCACATGATTCAAAGCTTAGGATCACTAGGACGAACTACCTGCAGGCCTAGGTTGGCATGGAGTTGGCATTGTTTATAGTTTGAGATATAAGATGACATGTCATTATTCATCTCTAATTCACAGCAACCAGAACCTCACCCCTCTAGCCCACAGGGAAGACAGAACCATACACAAATGAGTGATGGTGAGACAGCCCAGCTGACATCTGCAGCTCAGGAACACCAGGTCTTGTTCTCATCAGGACATTGTCAGTCCATTGCCCAAACCTGTAGCCCACAAGAAGAGAGCAATAAATCCTGGACACTGTGAAAAGTGAAAGCATTAAGTCCAAAGAAGCATCCCTAGGAAGGAGCGGAAATGAGGAAATGTAATGCAGACAATTTCACAAACACTTCTTACCTATATTCCATTGCCCACAACTCATTCACATAGTCCCCAAATGTAAGAGAAGCTGGGACATGCTGTCCTCCAGAGCATCCTGAGAGAGATAATGAGACTGATAAGCACCCAGCCATTTTCTAGCATAATCCATTAGTTTGTTCTTAAGATATCCATTTTATTATTTATCCTATATATTCTACAATCTCACTTCCTCCTTAATATGACAAGCCAAAATCCCAATCTAGTCTCTAACCTCATCTAAGTGTTAGGATCTGAGGATGATGTGTTATGTTATGCATCCAGTCCAGATTTTGTTCCTCTTAAGACCAGGAAGCTCTAAACAAAGCTAAAAATGGTCTCCCCCATACCCAATATACAGTTACATGTTAGGGATATAATGAAGGGACTACTTAAATTGCTGAGGAAAAAAACCCTGCTAACCTAGATTGCTATGCACAGTAAATGTGTCTTCCTAGAACAGTGTGAAGTAAGACTATTTAAGGAAAAAACGTAAAATTTAATGAAAAAACAACCTGTATTGTGGGGAACTGGGTGTCCTCACGATGACCCCCTAAGCTAAGGAGCCAAATGGGACAGACTGCTGAAGTAGCAGTGAACAAGAGCACGGAAAGAGCTGATACTGCAACCCTTCCTGGGAGGGCTGCATGCTGTGATTGTTTTGCCTAACCGCAACATTTTAACCTAAGCTACGCTGTCAAGAACTTGGGAGCGCAGCGGCGATCCCGCTGAGGGTTCGGATCCCACATACAGACCGGCGGCTCACTGGCTGAGTGAGGTGCGGGCGCAACACCGAGGGCTGC